TCCACTTTGGTTAAGTCGGCCGGAGTACGTCAACGGGCTTGCTACTTACATGAAACAATCCGCTGGTCGATTACAGTTTGTCTTCAACTGGATCATTGGAGAAACGAGGTATGTGATCAAAGTAGCTCTCTTTCAAATATCCTACTACATATAGTCCGCTAAATTTGTGTGTTGATGCGTGTATTTGATCGGAAATACATAACTTCCTTGAAATCAGCCGTAGAGAGTTCAAGTTGATAAGCGGTAGGGTGGTTTAATGGGAACGTGTATAGTAGGTGATGGAAAAGTGATTGCGACTGATAAGAGCTAATAAGCGACCTTAGAAGGGCTGTGTCACCAAATTCGTAGCGAGGGTTACAGCAACACTTAGGCGTTGGTTCCAAGAAATATTGAGGACGGAACACTTTTGGTAAGTGGAAGGAAGTGATAGCAGCTGGCAAGGGCCGATAAGAGACGTTTGAAAGTCGGGGCCAGCAAACTCAGAGCGCAAGTTTCAGCCATAGTAGGACATTAGTTCCAAAATATGACGTAGTTTTGGGACACATCATTCAGGGGTGGCATGACACGTTAAGAGTTGTTAAGATCTGATAACGGGAATTGAAACTCAAGCGTCGCCTAATTCATAGCGCCTGTCACAGTATCAGTAGGAAGTTGGCTCCAACAAGTGAAATAAGGGACGGCGATATTCGGATATTCTGACCGGTGATAGATAGGGATAACAAGTGATAGGGCTGATAAGAGGCCATCATAACTCGTACCCGTCATAAATCTTCTTTGAAATGGTACCTCTTTCACTACCAAATCGAAAAGGTTTGGTAATATGGGCATTGGTGACGGGTGACAAGCCATTAGATCAGTTGATGAGAATAGATAAGAGCTTATCCTCACTCCATTTTCTGCCATTTAAGGTGTAGTGGCTTAGTGTATAGTGAACGTACTGACTGCGTAACGTACGTACGTACTAACTGCATGTCGAGCGGGCGAGCAGGGGGAGGGGGCATATGATGCGCGTGAGACGGGAAAGGTCGGGAATCAAAGAAATTAAAAAAGGAAGAAAGGACAAAATGAAGATAATGTCATTCCTGAAAAAAGGAACAGGTCTCAGTATCAACCGTGATTTACTGATGTAAATCATTTTGCATTGATTTATCACGTCACAGTAGGGTGCGCCAGCCAAACGGTTCGATGTATACAAGCCACGCGCAGAAAGTAGTGCCAGCATTACAGTTACCAGCAAATTCCCCATTGGGCTATAGTTAATCACCTTTTCTGGCCAATTACCCTCTACTGCCCCAATCGACAGAAGTCGGGCCATTTTTTGAACGTTTTCCCTCCAAAGGCAGACTTGACTGTAAAGTTGTAGTTGTTGGTTGAATGTGATGGTCTGTCACATCCGCTTAGCCCAAAGGCTCTTGGCGCCTGCGCCAAAATACTCGAATGCACCATCGTTGAAAACTTTTTCTGGCGGTGGTAATTTGACCTA